CGATTTAGCTGCTGGCCTCTCGATATGCTATCAAAGTATTGTACACACGGCACCATCGGGCCGTGCGTTTTATTTCTGGCTTAGGGCGGAATCAGTGTTTCTTCCAGACTTTTTTCTCCGGGGGGGCACTTGAAATCTTCGGGGGGGGCGGTAAACTTTCTTCGGGGGGGGCGGACACTGTTAAAAGTATATATTTTCTACATAAGTTATATAAATTTCATTTCGTTCGGGGGGGCGGTAAAAATTTTTCGGGGGGGCTTCGCCCCCCCCGAAGAGATGCCTGGAAGAAACTCTGGGCGGAATACCCCTGATTTGGTTAGCTCTATCATGTCCTCTGTGGAGCCACTAGATCTTTCCTTACGTCGCACTATGGTATGCCGCTACGAGCGATACCGTCGCTTACCAATCTTGGATCTAATGCGGCAAATGGTAGACAGACGGCGCCAGGATGAACACTTACTGGGACTGTTGTTCAAGCGCACCTGGGTAGAGCAGGTCGAGTATCTACTGTTTTTGCACGAGGCCCCTATGCCTTTTGCCCGGAGGCCCATTAAGCAATGTTTTGCGCAGGGGCGGAACTACAGTGCCGCCAGACCCCGCAATGCAGTGGAAAAGGGGGGGGGGGGGGCACGCCATTTAGGGGCCCATAGCCGACCATAATAAAAAAAAAATATAGTTAAAAAAAATGTCTTGCTTTTTCTTGCATTTTTACTTTCTCGTATAAAAACAAAAAATCGAGATTTTTACAAATCTCGACGTTTTACATCTCACTGATACGGAAAAACATAATTTTGCAATCTTGTCCGTATGTCTGTGTGTCTGTCTGTAAACACGATAACTTGAGTACCGTTACAGCTGGGTTGATGAAATTTCATATATAAGTATTTTATCAAAATCGTAGATCCGTATAAACTTTTGAGCGATTTCCGATAACCGGAAGTGGTACTTTTCCTACTTTGAATTTTTCAAAAGCCTATAACGAGTACTATTTCAGATAGATAAATGAAATTTCACATGTAAGTAAAAGATCTAATTCTCTACCTTCTGTTAAATTTTGAGTAATTTTCGTTGACAGGAAGTAGTAATTTACGCTACTTCCGATTTCTCAAAAAACGAATGTAAATTTTTAAAGTACTAATAATATTGCGCACTATTATGCACTTTTTTAATTTGGCGTTCACTTGGTGTGCAATTCTTTTGTCTACGAGATTTTATTCTATTTTTAAAACTTTAAGTATTTAAAATGGATTAAAAATCATGTCTATAGCCCTGTTATTTTATATAAGAATATTCGAGAAAGTTTAGTGGAGATCACTCCCGGTTTATTTTTTACTTGATGGTTGTTTAGTAAAAAGATAACTGTAGCTGCGATTGGATTATCTTTATTTATTCTATAGTCACCATCCCACGCTCTTGTATATTCTTTTTCCTTTTGTTTTTAAACCACTGTGAAAGCCGAGTCCTCATTCTCCTACAATCAAACACACGCTGTCGGCAACATTCGTTTGAAAAAGAAATCAAAGTCCATTGCGCAAGATGCTGCTAGATATTAAGACGACTTTTGTTTTTTTATAGCATTGAAAAGGGGACCACAATCAATTGTAATTTTATAATGTAAAATGTATTTTTTTCTGTATTAGTAGAACTACTAATCTGTACTATCCTGTATTCTACACATAATCATAAAGAATATAATAACAATAATTTCGGTTTTATGTACGTTTACTTATTTCTGTTTTATAGAATATGTGATAGATGTAGTAAACGTGTATAATTTTAATTCTCTCCCTTGAATGTTTTACAATAAGGCTTTAGGAAAGGTCGTTCCCAACTTCGGTACCGATGGATTGAAGCACATCGGCGTTTTTTTGTCCCTTTTAAGTTCCTTTCTCCACCTCCCCCCCCTCCTCCCCGCTGATAGTAGCGAACTCCCTAACTGTACATTCACCACTTCTCACATTTTATCAGACATTAGTCAGCGGATATTAATTTAATAGCAAATTATTAATTAGTTTGATGCAACTTATTCATAAAACAAGGGAAGTAACTTACTTCCCTTGTAAGACTATTTTTACAAGCTTTTATTTAACTCGCTTCCTCTGTCGACAGTTCGTCGTCAGTCTGTCTAGATCGAAACGCCCGAGCGAAATTGCAGGCACTTCTAACTGACAGATACGTTTCGTAGTTGGTACGTGGATTAAGACATGAAGACAATGCATTGTGACATTCAATTTGACTTAATTTTTTATGAATTAATTAAAATTTGGACCGAATTAGTAGGCAGTTCTATGCACACGCGTCATCACGGCAAAAGCGCATCATCACGTTCAATAGGTGCGCAATGGATTTTAGTCAAGTAATTCTATAGTAAATAAAAACGTGTAAAGTACTTTAAAAAATTCAATTTTTTTTCATAAAAAAAGTTGTAATAACAAGCTTTTATGTACTGATGCACTAAAAAGTAGAAAATAAATTATAGACAACTATTTAAATAACTATAAAGAAAAGCGTGGGTCACTTTAGTATCTATTGTTTAATGTTTAGGAGGAGACAAGAAAAGAAAGAGGCAGATGGTTATGTTTTAAGATAAATAAAATTTGGAAAATTGAAAAAAAAATATTTTCTAAACAGATTAATGCACTCACACACATGACATGTTGTAATTTGTTTTAATTGAAAAAAAAAACAATTTATATATATATATATATATATATATATATATATATATATATATATATATATATATATATACATACATATATATATATATATATATATATATATATATATATATATATATACATATATATATATATATATATATATATATATATATATATATATATATATATATATATATATATATATATGTGTGTGTGTGTGTGTGTGTGTGTATATATTTGGGTGGCCCAAAATTTCTTTTTGCGGGGTGGCCCTTTTTTATACTTCCGACACTGGTTCTGCGTACTCTCCTTATATTACTCCGGACTTACCAGCTACACTCTTCTCTCTGACTGCCTCTCCTCGTACCACCGAGGAGCAGCTAGCATCTTTCCAACAGTTGTCTGGCTCTTATTTAGGGAATTCCCTACTTATTTATACTGATGGGTCAACCCCTGAGAGATAAACTCTCAAGGGTTATGGTATCTACATGGAGACAAGTTCTACTACTATGAGGATGAGTGGTCCCGTGTATTGGAGCATTTAAACTGCGGAGCAAACTGCTATTTTTCTAGCCTTCCTTACGTCGGGCAGTGCTTCTTAAGGTGGCTGAACCTTTAAGTGCCATATACTTGCACTCAGACTCTCTGTCTTCTCTCAAAGCATTGACAAACCCAGCCCACCGTTCCATGCATGACTTAGTGGATAACATTCGCTTTTTTTACTTTCTCGTGTATACGAAGTATAGAGAAAGTCTTGTAATCGTGCAAAAAAATAAAAATCGAGATTTGACGTTTTTCACCTCACTGATACGGAAAAACATAATTTTGCAATCTTGTCCGTATGTCTGTGTGTCTGTCTGTAAACACGATAACTTGAGTACCGTTACAGCTAGGTTAATCAAATCTCATATATAAGTATTTTATGAAAATCGTAGATCCTGATCAACTTTTAAGCGATTTCCGATAACCGGAAGTGGTACTTTTTCTACTTTGAATTTTTCAAAAGCCTATAACTTGAGTACTCTTTCAGATAGATGAATGAAATTACACATGTAAGTAAAAGATCTAATTCTCTACCTTCTGTCATTTTGAGTAATTTCCGTTGACCGGAAGTACTAATTTACGCTATTTCCGATTTCTCAAAAAACTAATGTAAATTTATAAAATACTAATAATATTGCGCACTATTATGCACATTTTGTTTTGGCGTTCGCTTGGTGCGCAATTCTTTTTTCTATGAGATTCTATTCTATTTTTAAAAGTTTAAGTAATTAAAAATCATGTCTATATTCCAAGTTATATAAGAATATTCTAGAAAGTTTAGAGGGAGATCACTCCCGGTTTATTCATTCTGGTTTTCTGCCATTTTTTTCGGAGGGCGGTCCCCGATAGTAAGGCGGTGCGTTTTGCCATCCAGGGTTTCCCAGTTGATTGGGTGTACGGCGCAGTGGGTCAGTGTTACTGCTTGATTCAGCGGTCAAAATGCACAGTTGCATCAGTCGGTCGTGTAACCTGGTGCGCCCCGGGTTCACCCTTGAGCACTACGGTGCCTATATTAATTTTAATGAGCGCCATACACTAGTGATATGGAGGGATACTAAAAATCGATTACTAAAACAAATAAGGGGTGTCATCCAGCGCATCAGCAGAAGTAACGTTTGAGCGCCCTGAGTTACCCAGCGGCTACCTGAGTGAAAAAGGATCCGTTGATTTCGCGTCCTTTAAGAGTTAGGGGTACTACTTGATTCAACAATCAAACTGCAACAAGGGTGGCATTTGACGCCCCCCGGCATACAGATGACACAAATCACAAGAGTAGCCTACACTAGGGACAATGTGGGCCTCTAGGTTCGAACCTGGGTATGCACCATGCTACCAAAGATAGTGTAACCAGTCAATCGACAGCACTAAATGTATCATCATCCCACGGAGTACCTTGCAACCTTGTCACATTACATGTCCATAGGGTATCTTGGACTGCCATCATGTGCCAATACATCCACCAACAGCTCACCTGGTTGATTGACCGATTGCTTCTACTCAATCCTGTTAGGCCTAACCCCCCCCCCCCCCCCTTTTTTTTTGTTGTTGAATATATTAATCTTTAAATTCATTTTTAATGACTAATTTTTAAATCCATCATCTAATCAGATTTAAAATTAGATTTTAGTATTGACAAATGTATCTGGAAAGTTGATTATTGTGTTACAAGTGGGTCTAAATAAAGTTATAAGAAACCAAAGGAGTAGCATAAACAGCTTTCAAAAAGGCCAATAGGAATGGATTGGTATTTTACTACAGACTATTTTAATTTTAAACATAAGAAAAATACTCCAAGAAGCTGAAGTCAGTGTTTATTAGCAGTAATAAGTATGAATTATAGTAATAAGTACAAAAACTAAGAACACAGAATTATGTCATAAAAGTTGTATTAAATATTAACATGACTTGGCCAACTGAATTGGTTTGTTTTTTTCAAATTTTGAGCACCTTGAAATGAAAGCAAATATATACTTTAAAACCATTTAGAAAAAAAAAGAAATATGCCTAAAACTCAGTAAACATTTTTCATCAATACTTCTTTAAATATACAAGACTGAGGATGATGATTAGCTGTTTAAAATTATAGTATGAAACTTGTTTAAAAATATTTTAAAAAGAGTTACAATTAAATAGTACGACAGCATGCATATGAGAAGATTTCCAACAAAGTGAATGACAAAAATTACACAAGATGAGTTATCCTCAAAAGAGATGCAAACATTATGCAGACTGTGCTCTGATAACGGAAATATAGGCAAAATTTGTGCTCATTTTTTCAAGGTCAACAATTTAAAAAGCTGACATGACACAAAAATCCTCTGTTCTGTCACACCAGTACTGCAATGAAACTATACTTGGTACCACAGCTTTCTTTCTAAGCCAAAATTGTGCTCCCACTACACATTAGCCTTTATTAATCATCTTAATACAACCAAGCTGTTAAGTACCCTTGCATAAGGTGAATTAAACAAAATGCAACTTACATAAAATTAAAACACTGCTTTGATTTATTTCTGTACTACACAACAAAATGAACAAGAATACTTTGACAGAGCATTTCTTTCATCCAGATTTGTAGAATCTGACAGCTTAAACAATACAAGTCCCCTCAAAAAGTGATTTGTACAAAAATGCATTTCATACACAATAGACCCAGTAAGTTGGGTTATGCCAAAATCATTAGTTAAAATTGTATGGACATAATTATGCCTAAGACAAGTAAAACCACTATTCTCTTTCTTAACCTTTGGCTAAATGAATAATACAAGGTAAACCTGTGCAATAAATCAGTTATAAACCACTATGATTATCTAACATTATTAGCCACCAAAGAAAATGTTAAATAGTAGAGCAACAGTTTTTCTCATTTCAAGGCACCATTCACATATTTTGATTGATTCATATTTTAATAATTAACATTTAGAATTGCGTTGCAACTATTTAAAAACTAAGGAATGAAAAAAGAAACCAAGGTCCATTTAGGCCAAGAGTTGGGAGCCATAAGTTTTAAAAAAGACATCACAGAAAATAAATACTACAATGAAGACAAAATACAAAACTAAATAAAATGTTAATTGTTCGTAGCTATATTATACAAACCATTGACTAATTAACTACTCCTGATATGTAAAATACTTTTTACATTTTGGTAAATAGGCAGTTACTGTAATACCTTTATGTAAAAAAGCTATACAACCTCATCAGTTTACACTTGTAACTTATAAGCGCAGTTGATAATTGATTTTACTTTTGTAGTAGCTCTGAACATTTGACACCAGGAGCAAAAGAAAAATATTTTTATGAACCAACTCAGTTTTCACACAACTGTCACATTTAGATTTGGAAATAACCTAAATTAAAAGCTTGAAAAACCTTTTTTTGTACATTTAAAGATTTAAAGGCAACAAGAATTTTGAAACATGTTTTACTTGGTTTTCATTTTGATTGATCATTCATTATCTAACAATAAAACATTACATAAAATTACAGCTGAAGTAGTTTGTTATGTTTCATAGGTAGCTTGATCAAGCAATATTCTGGGTGAATATTCCTGAACAGCTCATTAAAATTCTAGGCTGATTCTTTTATTCTTTTAAAAATGATGGATACCACCACAGGATTTAATTAAAGTTAATTATGTGACTAAAACTAAGTGAATTTAAGTAGTACATAACAATGTGTTTTGAAAGAGGGATAAAATTCTATGATGTGTGGTTGGTTTCTCCTTCTCCCTCTCGTTCGTGAAGATTAGGATTGCTGCTCCATCTTTTCTTATGCTGCATTCGTCCAAATCCTTCATCATAGTTTCCTTTGGTGGCAAATAACTGTTTATAATGTGTAGTGCAAAATATGATTTCATTATTGATTGCGAATGTCTTTGGCCTGAAATAGTTAATAAAATGAGGTTTGTTAAAAAGAAAAGTTTACACAGGAATTTTAAAAACAATACACAATTGTTCCATCTTTTTTGAAGTATGTTTTCTTATGTAATGAAAACCATCTTGACAAATCTATCGTAGACTTTGCACCATCATCTCTACAGAAGAATTTAGACAATAACATTAAGTAGTGTGCTTTGGAAAAAGCTGTTGATCTTCACTCATAGGATGATCTGTCTTGTAACTGCAAGACTCAGCTGAATCCAGTTAACATTTTTTTAAAAAGCATGCACAAAATGATCATGCTCAATGGAAGAGATTGCAACATTGGATTTTAGTATTCCATTCATGCAATTTATACTACAAATTAGTTCACTATATATGCCTTCTAGTTAGGTCTATATTAGAAGCACACACAGAAAATAAATTCATTCTGGTTATCAGAAAAATGGTGCTATAGTCAAAACATGTCAATGGGTTTTGATTATGTTGATGTACAGTAAATGATCATGCGAGCAGTGACACACTGGTGTCAACATATTTCAATAATGTCACATTATACAGACATAATGAATTGTAAATTTAACAAACAAATACCATTGTTTACTAATGCTTAAAAGGCTAAATGTCTAGAGAAATAAAAAAGTTCATCTAGTGTGTTTGTGTGTGTATGTATATATAAATATATACATCCATGTATATAAATATATACATCCATGTATATAAATATATACATCCATGTATATAAATATATACATCCATGTATATAAATATATACATCCATGTATATAAATATATACATCCATGTATATAAATATATACACACATGTATATAAATATATACACACATGTATATAAATATATACACATATATATATAAATATATACACACATACATATGTATAAATATATACATACATACTATATAAATATATACATACATAAATATATGTATATATATATATATATACATATATATATATACATATATTTACATATATATATTTATAGTTACATATTAATAGTTAAAATATTCAATATACAAATACGTGTAATTAGAATAGCATGGGAAATGAATATAATTTCTTTATAACGCAAAAAGTACTATAAATTTTTGTTGAGTTTTTAAAGATACTTAGAAACATTTTGATCATAGTTTCAGGGGTATGTTTGCATTTAGACATAAAATAGAGTACAAAACAAATTCATCTGACTAGGCTGGGTTGTGAAATCTTACGTTAAAACAGCTTTGCACTGAGAACACCTAAAACAGGCTTTGTGGTAAACCCTTTTGTTCATCTCCAGCCGTTCCATTGCATACACAGTTTTCTCACATGCCCCACATTTCTCTGTCTGCACTGCTGCCCTCATGCTCTTGCTGCGGCCCACCTAGCAGGAGATATTAGTCAAACAAACAGAGCATCAGCCAACAAGCAAACACAACGATAGACAACTAAGAGATCAAATCAGTGACACTAGCCACACAATTTTCTCAAACTCATTATGGTTAATGTAATGAATCCAATTTCTAGGCAGTCTTTCTTATTTAATGTTTAATGGAGCCATAATTATGGTTAAAATATTTTCTCAAAACCATTACAAAATGAATCTTAGTTTTTATAAATTATAAGTTAATATAAATTTAAAAATTTATTAAATAGACATACTCTAGAGAATAAGCAGAGCTATGCAATAATGACATACAGTGGTACCTCGACATACGATTGTCCCAATATGAGAGCTATTGAGAGGACTAATTTTGCTTTGACATAGAAGCAAAACTTGAGATTTGAGTCGCCAGATTAGCGGGTTCAACAGTTAATGGAAAAAGAACACCCCCACAAAAGTTACTATTTAATGACAGTTACCTAACTCATTTCTCTACATTCTGAAAGGGAGGAAAAAACCTCCTTGACAGGTTTACTTAAATAGCCTGTGTGGAATATTGGGGAAAGTGAGGAAAGCGAGGTGAAAAAGCAAAGACTAGTGAAGAGAAAAGCAGTGATGAAATTTAAGAGAAAATAACAAAACATTATACTGTAACATATAGATTTAATTCTGCTAGGTGAAAGTTTAAGTTCCCTTAGGGATAAAGTGTAGGTTAAGAGTGTAACAAGTGTGTGAATTAAAGTGACCCCAAGAGCCAACACCTTTGTCAGCATCTGTTTAAAGCTCAATTTGGCTGATTTTTAAGGTAAATACAATTTTCAAAACCAGTTTATTTCTTTGCATTATCCTATATTATGTTATTAAACATTTTGGTAAAGTATAGATACACTTTTCTTATAAAAAAAAACATTTAAAAAACAATTGGGGTGGCATTTTGGCGGCTGCGTCTTAGGGGCTGGAACGGAGCATTTCAATAAAATTCAATGGAGAAAATTGCTTTAGATACAAGCAATTTGACATACTTGTATTTCGGGATACCACTGTATTTGCACTCAATATTACTAATAATAAGACTAATTGCTTAGCTGTTTTTAATTATGCAATGTTGCAAGAGATGAAGCTGTTAATTTGAATAAGTGCATAACATTTAGTTTTAGAAATGAAATGTTAAATAGACAGGTAGAGATGCAATAGTTTAGTGACTATAGGTGCAGCATGCTACATTTGTATTAGTATAAAGACAAATAACATGCAGCATTTTCTAAAGCATGAGAGCTAACATTTAAATATAAATTAACAGGGGTCATCCATACACTTTGTCACCCTACCAATATTTATATTTTTAAAATTAGATTCCACACCCCACTCTCTCCAGCACCCCCCTGTAAGTTTTGTATATTTAAACAAATATTTGTTGACCTGGGTGAATGTAAGGTATAGTAATGAAAAAAGAACAAGAAAACAACCTGAAGTTAAAAAATTACATATTTAATTTTGAAAATATTAAATCAAACTTTCTGGGCTCTCTGTCCCCCCCCCTCCCATACACACCCTCACAGAACTGAAGACAATGGTACCCAGCTCCTCCCCCAGTGACAATCATTCATGGACAACCCCATGGTCTAATGCAAATTCTAAGAAATAAAGAAATAAAGCAATTAAAAGCTAAAAATTGCAATCCCAATGTAACGAGAGAATAATTTAGGCAACCAACATAGAATTTTTAAAAAGAAGACCAATGGTTGAAGAGTATCTCCTGGCCTTACTATGTCTATCAAGAACATTAACTGCCCAGATAGCATAATATCAACAAGTCAATAATAAACACATGCTAACAATTTTAAACTACATTTTATTTTATAGGTAAAACAGGAAAACATTGTAAAATTCTGACAGCTAGTTCACAGCCAAAGTTGCTGATTTATTCAAACACACTAACATGCAAATTATTAATACAAATATGTTAGCATTATTAGGCAACCCATGCAATAAGAAAAGCAGTAGCAAAAGATATATATACAGTGGCCAATAATGCATTAATAAAGTGCAAACCGCTACCCAATGGGGGAACTAACTACACATGACAGTGAGCTGTGGTCTTTTTTTTATTATTAAAGACGCTTGCCTTTACCATCCACAAATACCTATACTGCCTATTTCAAATAGTTTCATTACAAAAGTGTTCTTTAAAACACTGACTTACACACCTGCATAAGAATACTATATTTTGCTACTGATGTTTTTAAAAGAACAAATAAGCAACTTTAATTTAGAAATACCCAAATAATTAACTCAAAGAACACTATCTTCTATTGACTGATTAACCAATACATTAACCAACTAAAACCACAAGATGAGATATAGTATGCTCATTAACAGTTATATTAGTTTTGTTAGATCTAATACCTAAACAAGTAAAAAAAAAGTAGGTTATATTTTTCAGGCAGCAAAAACTGTTGTCCAGTAGCAAAAATTGTCCTCTAACAAACCTTGTCAGCATTTTCAAAAGATAGATTGGTATTTTCCATGATGTAATCACTTTCACTACTCTCAGAGCCCTACAAGTGTAACAATAATAAATTAGTTGCTGCACTGGCTTATCAAGATACGATTCATGTGTGCTTATATCTTGACTGGCAACATAGACTTGTAACAAAAGAATCAGTTCCATTAATAGGGCATGTTTAAGTCAGTGAGATCTGTTTTTTGATAAATTAATAGGAGTTCTTTTAAATCCTTTCCTATTTAGCTTAACCAATCACTGCCTGGTGTTTGAAAATTTATCTAGACTAATAGGCCTACTAGGCTTAAATTCTAAAATAAAAATCTTGATTTTGTTGCCCTTCCTCTCGTATTTGTTCTGTTTTGTCCTGTTCCAAAGTTTTAGGCTCTTGATTCTACTTTTTTAATTATCAAAATGCCCTACCCTGCATAAAAGCCTATGTAAGCTATATGAGAGAAATTAATGCATTCTTGTCACAACTGAAATTTTTTTGCACAAACATGCAAAAATACAATCTAAAAAGTAAAAAGGCTAAAGAAAAAGTAAGAAATCAATTCATGGAAGAATTAAATTTAGATCCATATCAATTTGAGATGTACATCTGTTTCAATGTAATTACCAGAACAGTGCAGATAAGAACACTGACAAACAGTATAATGTTAAATTCTTAATAAAGATAAATGCAATAACCTATCGTTAAAAATGTAACCAATAGTAATAAATGTTTAGTCTAAACAAGATCGTAGCGGCATATTGAAAGCAGTACTACAAAGTGTACATACCGTTAACTAACGAGGTTGGTACGTTGAATGAGTTGTGTATCCCGGACACAACCATTAAGAGCACAGCACACGTAGCTATTTTTAGCCACGGGCTCACTGTATGGGAGTAGCCAAAAAAGCTCCACCTTAACACAGGGGAGGTTGCATACGGCTAGTAATCATCTAGAAATCAGGCCATTCTGTCTGTTTGGGACTAGCGCTATATTTAACGACATTCTGCTTACATTATTAAACCAACTGGCCAGCTTATGCGGCATGCAATGCACTACACACATTTCCAAGGCAATCGTTGCTCTTTATTCAACATATAACACAGCTCATCATGGATCTATCTCGCTTTTTTTCCCCATAAGCAATTTTCTGTACAGATCATCTCGCCCGTTATGGCCAATAGGTGCATCTCACCCCGCCCACAATAAGGTTAACTGGGTTGATTTTTTTTCTCCGTGCCGCTGCTACGTAATGCAATAACTGTGTGTCAGCCAACACGCTATGTTTCCTGCACTACACACATCCGTAGTTTCCTACACGCTTTATGAGATTCACGAGCTTACATAACACTAATCTAGTAATAGTGTAACATTGCTCATTTTCTAAATGCGAGGCTAGAGTTGAAATGGGGGGGGGGGGGGGGTGATGGAGAGTTCATTAATTATATGAGGTATAACCTTCCGTTTTTGCGTGTGTGTGTGAACAGATAGTTTCGATGTATACAGTAAAGTGCCGAATCGGACAGAGACCTTTGGGTGTACAGATGTTTAAGATTTCGGTTGGTCATTTATCAGATGAGTTATTTGTTGACCTGTAGGGCCTTACATATTCGCTAACAATGGCAATTCATGCGCCTCACTTTGTTAGCAATACAGATGGATATCGATAATTAAATGGACTTGTTTATCGCCTGTTACAACACAATCATAAGCGGGGAATCAGTGAGCACGACACAATCATACACTAATGGGGACACGATGTGTCAGCCTACACGTGTGAAGGTCACATGTTCCAAAGCTGATAAGCAAACAATAAGATGCAAGCATCATGCACGTCAATAGCACTACTACACATGCGCCATCTTTTTCGTCATAAGTAATGGAGGCCAGTATACAAACCTTTCGGGGAGTTTTTTGTTTAATTTCTGGTTCCTGTTAGAACAATATAGAATATGGGGTGAGAAAACAACAAATCCTTTAGTACGCTGCGTTTCAAAAGTTCATTATTCATTTCTGTTTAAAACTTAGAAATACTATTTAAACGGTCAGCACGTAATGGACACTGTCAAGTTTGTTCTATACTAAAAGTATGCAGGGCCCAGCCCAATGATCTATGAAACTTAAAAGGATAGTCAAATAGCGAAAGAAAAAAACCGCATTATAATCATAGTGCAATAATTTGCCAAGGGAAATGGTGTTATATTCAGAGGAAGTAAGCAATCATCTATAGAGAAAGGGTTGAAGTGGCACACATTTTTCTTACTCATATTTGTTGTGACTCTTATGTTTGTCAAAAGTCTAGCCACTCAACTTTTGTGTCCAGCAAACTAAACTACGGGACTCAAAAGTACCAAATTTAGTAACAGAAAAGTGTGTCCAAAATGTTACTTTAAAAATTTCTTTACCAACTTTACACATTAAAAATATGTTAAAGATTGGACTGCAAATAGGCGTTTAAAAAAACTGTGAAATGATAAAACAACAGCTAAATGTAACGAAAAGTGGGTCACAAAACTAGCTTTTCTGTGTAATTCGTAAAGCCAATAGAAAGCTTTGTGTGTTTACAAGATGACGGAAAATAGGAAAATACGGATTAACAAATACCAGAGAAGTCCAGCTTTCCAATGATGTAACTTTTCATAGTGAGCGTGTAAAATTGTGAATTTTTTCCCCCATTAATAGTGTTAAAAAAAATATTTAAACACATTAAAATTTTCTCTCTCACGAAAGTTATTTTCTTAATACTAAAATGGACAAAGACTTCAAATTTGCAAGAAACCCATTAACACGAAAAATCAGGATTTTAGTGATTTTTCTCAGCGCATATTGCCTTAATTAGATGTTTAAAGTCAAATTAAGTTACATTTGATGTCACAATGGATTGTTATCGAGTCTTGACCTACGTAAAAAGTTTAGAAAAGAAATATATCTGGTCGAAGTGATCTTTTAGAGCAGGGGTCTCCAAACTACGGCCCGCGGGCCAGATGCGGCCCGCGAGGTCCTCTCATCCGGCCCGCGGAGATCTTCTTGTCCAAGGAAAAAACGTTTGTTGTTGATGGCTGAGGAACTTTGCCCAGAAAAAGCAAAAACATGCCTGGAAGAATCTGGCCCCCGAACTGAAATTTGATAGTTAATGCGGCCCTCGGTCTGAAAAGTTTGGAGACCCCTGTTTTAGAGTAATCAGAAATAGCGTAAAGTACTAGTTCCAGACAACGGAAAACACTCAAAATTAGCAAGAATCAAGAGAATAAGATCGTATACTTATGTATACAATTTGTCCACCTAAATGAAAAGGTACTTAAGTTATCGGTATTTAAGAGACCGGAAAAAAAGTAAGGAAAAGTACAACTTCCGGATATCGGAGGTCAAAAATAAAAATAAATACAGGAGCAATCAGAAATGAACTTCCAAAATGGCCCTGTCCCCAGCTCTTTTTAAAATCTCAAATTATGACCTGAAACAAAATACCAGCGAAAGCAAAAAGTAGAATGTACGCTGATGACCTTGCTGTAAACGGCACAACAGATTATATTGGCACAGGAATTTGAAAATTCCGATTTCAAGAATCACAGGACAAGCGTAGAAAATGGGCCAAAAAATGGGCCCTTACAAATTAATCTTAATTGTATCATAAAAAAATTAAACGAACTCATTGTTTGGACAAAGTATGAGTGAGGTCCCCTAAAGTTTCTCGTAGTTAGAGTTAGGTGGCACTTCAGGTGGAAACGTTGGTAGGTTAAGTTTATGACAAAATCACTCGCTTTTAGATGAAGAGAGGAAGAAACGGGTTTTAGAATGTTTTATCATACGGATGGAAGATGATTTTTTTAATTCTGAAGTTTTTCCCCCTGAGAAACCGGAAATATAGGGTACTATTTTCGGTTATCTATTAAAATTGATAGAAACCAATGTAATTATCAAATATATATGTGTGTAATCTCGTCCACCTAACTGAAACGGTACTCAAGTGATCACGTTTACACACACAGACATACCAGATTGCCTAACTATTTTCGACACAGGAAAGTACAAAATGTCGTGATTTGTAAAATTCGGGATTTTGATTTTTGTGTGTGCAAGATTATAATACTTTATAAGAAAAAATAATTGCCCCACAAACGTCACATTTGATGTGAGACTAGTATGATATTGAAATTACTAAAGGCCAAGGGTCAATTAAAATAAAGACTAACAGGCACAGGCCATTGAAAAATAAAAACAAAGGCCCTACCTAGGCTACCTCCCACACCAGCTATGTCATACCTACACTGGGTAGGCTGGTCTTACATGTGTTCAGCAAAAAAAAAAAAAAAAACACTTGCAAAATTGAAAAGGTAAACTTAGAGAGACGTGTAGCCTATGTAGAGAGATGACGTGTGTAGCCTATGTAGAGAAATGACGGGAGACGTGTGTAGCCTAAGTAGAGATATGACGTGTGTAGCCTATGTAGAGAGAAACATGTGTAACCTATGTAGAGAGATGACGTGTGTAGCCTATGTAGAGATATGACGTGTGTAGCCTATGTAGAGAGAAACATGTGTAACCTATGTAGAGAGATGACGTGTGTAGCCTATGTAGAGAGATGACGGGAGACGTGTGTAGCGTATGGTTGGAGATGACGTGTGTAGCCTATGTAGAGAGATGACGTGTGTAGCGTATGGTTGGAGATGACGTGTGTAGCCTATATAGAGAGATGACGTGTGTAGCCTATATAGAGAGATGACGTGTGTAGCCTATGTAGAGAGATGACGGGAGACGTGTGTAGCGTATGGTTGGAGATGACGTGTGTAGCCTATGTAGAGAGATGACGTGTGTAGCGTATGGTTGGAGATGACGTGTGTAGCCTATGTAGAGAGATGACGGGAGACGTGTGTAGCGTATGGTTGGAGATGACGTGTGTAGCCTATGTAGAGAGATGACGTGTGTAGCCTATGTAGAGAGATGACGTGTGTAGCCTATGTAGAGAGATGACGGGAGACGTGTGTAGCGTATGGTTGGAGATGACGTGTGTAGCGTATGGTTGGAGATGACGTGTGTAGCCTATATAGAGAGATGACGGGAGACGTGTGTAGCGTATGGTTGGAGATGACGTGTGTAGCCTATGTAGAGAGAAACATGTGTAACCTATGTAGAGAGATGACGTGTGTAGCCTATGTAGAGAGATGATGGGACGCAGAGGCGTAGCGACCCTTCCCGGCGCCAGGGGACAAACTTTTCGATTTGCACCCCCCCCCCCCTCAACTGTTACTCTATCTTATTTAAGATAGGCAATCATGTCACAAAGGAGAGGGGTGGCACCAAATTGAAAAATCGTAAAATTCACTGTACAAAATGTTTGGTCCATTAGTAAGGGAGAGTGGAGAAACATGAGACATTGTTGTCTGATAAATGTGAAAACATCCAAACCGCGCCGGCTGAACACGGCCTAATGAGGTAAAAAAGGATGGTACATTTTTGTCATGTGCAAGATTGGCCGGCCTATTCTGTTTTAGTAGGACATTGTCCACACTGATGGCAGCCAGTCAGATCCAGTATTGAACATAATGCTTTTCGTCAAAAGTCGCCGATTTATCACGTATTTAATGTGAGTACACGATTGACAGACGGTGAGCATAACCTGTTACAAATCAATAACCGGACGGACAGGTGATGATGACTTTCTTTGTTAGACCTTGTACACGATGCAGGGGTTAGCAACCCACAATAAAATTAACTGGCAGTCTAATCGCATTAGCCTTCGTTATTTACAATAAAGCAACACTACCATAGTCCCCCTACAATTCAAAAGTCATTTATTTAGTTAACTTTAAAACTTAAAGGGTAGAGATTTAAAATGTGTTCACAGGTTTGAATGGAGCAGCGTTAGTATTTTCTCTCCCAAGCAGTTAGGTTTTAATAAAAATTAGTAAATCTAAAGCGTTTCTTCAGGAATAATATAAGTTAAATATTATTAGCTTGATCTAGTTTAAATGTATATTGAGAAACATACAAAAATAAAGTTTAAAAACAAACCAATGATGTAAGAATGTCTACAACATATCCCTCCAGCTTAGAGTCAGTGCAAATAAAGTCACTGGACCGTGAAGTATGTTTTTCTTCACATTTAACTGCTTACTCTCAACCAAATAGGTTATAACCCTTAAGGGGTGGAAGGTGATTTTAACTACACACCACGCGACACGTCTAGTGAAAATCAGTCACATTAATGCTAGCACAGATTCATCGTTACCAATCACAGGTGTCTTCCTCCTCACACCCCCCCCCTCCACCAAACTTAAGTACGACTGTTTGACCACGATATTGAATTAATCTGAGAGAGAAAGAAAATGGAACAAGAGTTGGCTGTTTTATGCGCTACACACAGCCGTCCAGCAAACAAAAGCTCGTATCACAAAGAAATATCAGGGAAATACCACCAACTACACGGTACAGACAACGTCAGCAACTCTAGGGGGCATATTGATTTTCTTCATGGCATACATTCAAATTCACGGCATTTCAAATATAGAGCTTCAATGAAATCATTAAAATGATGTCAACTAATTTTAATGTTACAATATTAAGAATAACCTTATTCACAAACAGAGGATGTCAGGGTGAGCTTAATACAAACAATTGGTACCTGTTTTATATTTTGTTTAAAATTTACACAACTAACTATAAATACCACACAGGGGATCTAAACAAAACTGCTCATAACAAAGGCTCCTTCATTTTTGTAATAGTGTTACCTGTCTTGGTATTCCATGAAATAGTTTTAACATATATGCTAGTGTTTGTCCACCCAAATTTTTCCTCTCTATTCTTTTGATATATAACTACATGGGAAATATAATATGGTAAGCTTTTTTAACTTTTTGTAAATTATTACTAAAATTATGAAGTGCAAAGATGACTGTGCTATCTATATATCATTCCCCTTATAGAAACCATAGCCAAAGATATGATAACAATAAATACAAAATTATCTATCTACCTGTATTTATTGCAAATCAAACCTGGTTGTAATAGAATATAGTTTTGTTTGACATAGAGCTAAATATGAATTGAATGGATACAATGAAAATTGTTCTATTATAAATAGCATTAATTAGATACTTCAAAGATTTTCTGTTTGTAAATTCCCCATGTTGTCATTTCCTGCAGATCTGATTTGGATTTAACTTGAGAGTATAGAGATCATGCTTTAAAATACTTGTAAGTCTATGCTTAAAATTATTGAGTAAAGCATCAACCAATTTTAGAGCCTGTGAGAAATACAAAGAAAATATTGTATGATAAAACTAATAAACCCAATTTGTGCCAGCTGAAATTTTTAGAAAGCAATTATTTAAGGTCTTTTTACACATTTGTAATTGACAACATAATATTACAGCAGAACCAACAAACATTCATTTCAAAATTTGAATATGACATAAAAATAAAATTAAAATAATATAAAATCATCAAAAAAATGTCTACAGGGTGCAGCATGCAATATGGGTTAATTAAAAACCATGCTCAAATCTTTATAGTCATAAACATTTCTAATATCTGAAAAAAAAAAGATTACTTTGGAGCTCATTATTTAAGGCTGCAATATATTATTTATACAGTAAATAACAAAACAAAATTCAAAAGGAGGCATTTATGACAGATCAAAACAAATTGAATCCAGTGTAAAAAAGAATGAGCATCTTTTGTTAAAAAGGAAATTTGTGTTATACTAAAGTGAAATTGTATTTTCTAAAAAAAAAACCACAATCAAAGTTCTATTAAGAGTTTTCTGAAAGAAAAGTATTTATTAATAAGGTCAATATTTAAAAGATAGCTGAGCAAATGTTTTAATTCAAGAAATTCTGTGCTTACCTTACGCACAACAGGTGGCTGGGTTTTCTTAGCTTCTTCTTGGATGTGCTGAAACTTAGCAAGCATCTTTTTGGCTGTGTCTTTTTTAGGCATACCTTCTGTCCAGTCTGTGTCTGCCTCACGAGCAGTATCATTACGAACCTCAGGCGTGGATTCAAACACTGTTGGTGCATTCTGAGGTTGATATTGACCTGGCAGGTCTGAAGGATGAACTGAGCCATTATCTAACTGATCGTATCCACTGGGTGACAGAGGAGTTCGTGGTGACCTACAAGGAGATAAATACACAATTTTATTCAAAAGATCACTGAGGTATGCTCTTACCCATGTGACCACTTATCAGAGTGTTTGTGAAAATATTTAGATAGTGAAAAGATGAAGGATAATATTTACATTATCTTAATTCAACACCTCATTTACTTTTAGGGAGGGTAGTGAAGAGTTCAATGGAAGGTTAATATGAGGTAGCAATTCTGTATATAACAGATATAGTAATTTTAACTGAAATGTGCAGTTAAATGAGTAACAAAATATGCCTAGCCCTATAAAAACTGTACCCAGTCCTCCATCTCTGGTTACACTATATTGTGTATGCACTTTTTTTGCTTTTGTTAGGCCCACAAAGATCCCAATACACTCTGTGTAAGGGAGGTCATTAAGTTAAACATTCCTCTCACATTTATTTGAAGCTGATAAAATGTAATAAAATTGACCCAGGTTAGCAAAATAAACCTAAAACATAGTAGCCATCATTTAACAAAAATGTTTGTTATTTTTTAATTTAATTTTTTCATTTGTAGTTAATTTTGAGGCAAACCTTTAACATTAATGAAAAATATATATATACATGTCATACAACAGAGAAAATAGAAAACAAGCTAGCAGATAAGCTCATTAAAATCAACAAAAAAGTAATTTGTCAAGAGGATAGAGGGGGGAGAGGGAATTTTTAAAAATCACTTATATTTGCAATGGGGAAGGGGGTGAAAGAGAAAGAACAGAAATTTGTCTATGGGTGACCCTTTCCTCTAACTGGATAATTTTTATACTTTGGGTAGGGTTGTAACAGAAAGATGAAATAAATGAAAAAGTTAAGGGATTGGAGCAAGTAAAAAGCTCAAAAAGTATATAACAAGTTGAATGGGGTTTTAAAAAAGTTATATCAAGCTTGTCTGGCAATTTTATTGACTGCATGAGGAAGTAATTAAAATTAGTCACTGTTTGAAGTAATAAGCAAGGTTGTCTCCCCTTTCTGTGTGCAAAGTTAAAACAGATGATATCCCTTGACCATTACCTGTTTACCTTTTTTTAATAGAAAAGTGATATCATTAATAAATGTATAACAGCCTGTTTTTTGTTTGACACAATTACACCATCAACAGTTTAAAAAAAGATATTTCTTTTCTCTAGCTTTTTCATTTCATAAACATGTTAGTAAAGCTTTCTAATTTACAAAATTGACAGAGGAGTTAAATAAAAGCTAGTAATTGTACACCTCAACATACATTAGATAGAATTTACTATTCACAACTCTCCCTACACAAATGAAATTTCCAATGCTAAAATACTGTAGATGTGATGATCCCAGTTTCATACATACATACATAAATATTTAGGCTGATTAGTTTTAGAGAGATTTAACACGTTAAATATTTAAAAATTCCATTACTGTGATTCTCATTTTCTATTATCAAGATAACTATAAAAGACCTATTCAAATATTGAGAAGTTTAGTTTTATCCTATAGATGCAGTTAACAGTGCACACATTAATTGAGATAAAATGTTTATACAATATTTTACAATATCTATCTTTTACATGCACAAAAAGTAGAAATAAATATGGATTTTAAATAGTGTACCATGAGTTATTGTGTCTATTTATGAATTTAATTTGAAGAATCAGTAGCCTAAATATCTTTATTTACTTGACCAAAGTAAAACAGCCCCCTCCCTTTACAGAGTAAGCACAGTAAACTAATATGTGATGATTTGCAAAAGAGATTACCTTACAACTTCATATGCAACATGCTACAAAGGGATTAGGTCTTGACCCCATTTTAGCTTAGCTATAACCTCTTTTTACATTAATTTTCTCATAAAAACAAGAATAAATAATTTCAAAAAAATTATAAGCTTGAAAAGTGGTTCAAAATCTAAATAATCATTTAAAATTAAAAAACAAAAACTTTGAAAAAATGTGGCAAGTGATAAATTTATAATTACATTTTTAACAATTAAAGCCATTTGGGAACCATCAATTGCACTCATTTACATATTTTTGTATTGAGGATCAGCCATTGAAAATAATTCTTGATTTATTTTTTATTGATTAAAAAAACCTATCACTGAGTCAACCGGAGTGGCCAGGGAAAGTAAAAGAATGAAAGTCACAACAATTGTTTTAAATGATAAAGTAAATTTAGTGTACAGGGTACATAGCCTGGGCTACCAAATCACACCCTGCAGAGGGCGCCGGCTGATGCGCCTGATTTTAAATAAGTCAACAATTATTGATGCCTATTGTGTCTTTAGTGTATAGACTTTTTAAAAACAAACGTAGATGCCATAGTGCTCAGAGGGGAGCCCGGGGTGCTTTGGATCACGCAGTCGCTGGCAGTTGCGCCTGTTGCAGTTTTAATGCTAAATATAGTAGTACCCCTTACCAGCTATAAAGTACACCCATTTAATGGATACCAAGTGCTAAGATAGTCGCTTTGGAACTCCGAGCACCAAACCATGTATTGACAAAAAAATAATCGCACCATGCAGGGCGTATCCTATAAGAAATTTTAATTTTATGTTTTGCAGTATCCTTCTGTAGAGTAGTTTCATCAACTCCCCAAGGTTTCATAGCACTCGGATGAACAGTGTAAGACAACATTCAACTTTTATTTTTTATATACTGTATAGAGAGAAGAATCACACCCTCCAGGGGCCTGGCCTTGCAAAATTAAAAAACATACACACTTTCATTTTTATATATATATATAGATTCAAATTTGGTTAAAAATAGGCTTTCTGGCAACTACAATTCTGATCCACTTTTCCAGCCTACTGTAACTTATTGCATCACAAAATATTAGCAAAAATGTAAGGGGAGAATTTTGAAAACTCAAGCAGTTAGCAAGCTAAAGTTTATTTGTTGCACTTTGTTTTTATATGGAGGTATCATTACATAAAAGAGAGCACAAGATTTGAAAACAAAAGGGAACATCTTGACTAAGTGCTAACTGATTGTTAGTTCCTCACTGTTTCAAACAGTATTAACAGGTTTATGTTTATTCTACACACACTTTGTACTGATCTTTATCAGATAGATTATGATGAGAAAATTCGAGGAAGTTTTTCATTTTTAAGAAACTAGTAGGTTGATTAACCTGGTTACTTGTGCAAAGAGACTTGAGAAACTTGGAAAGACTAAAATCATTTGATATTCACAAAACAATACAGTTTAAAAACAAATGTGATAAGAAGTTTTGAAACAGTTGGTAGCAAACAAGGACTGACATCTAATGAAGTGTACCAAACATTTACAACTTCAATCAAACTAGGGAATGGGAGGAGTGACCAAGGAAAATGGGTTCAAAAGAATCAAGCTAGAACAGCGAGTGTGATGGAGAACTCACTTTCTCTGCTGGGCTATCCTGGGCTCTTCCCTTGGTGGTGTAAACTCCTTAGGTCGGCCAGATGAGCCTGGAGATTTTGCACCAGAAGCACTAGTCTCCAGTTGCCTCCATTTACTGACCATGTTTTTTGCAGTACCCCTCTCTGGGAGTTCTTCTTCATACCTAGCAATACAATTTAATGCTATCAATTTTAGTCTTCTGTTGTTAATATTGCTGCTAAGCAGATTTACTGCTATTTTTCTCATTTTTTGGCAACTGTTATCACATTCACTTGGGTCAGTTCAATATCCACTAAAACAATTTTGTAGACAAGATTTGTTCCGTTACTTGTTAGGAAAACATTGTTTACAAAGATTAAAAAAAGGATGATGAAATTTCAGGTAAAACACACTAATGCTTTTATTTTTTTATAGAAGTAGCATTAGACTTATTCTTAATAGTAAAGGTCACATTGTAAAAGAAAGATATTTAAGGATAAATTTAAAAATAATCTGTAAGTGTATTGTCAATGAGGTTTTAAGGAAAGTACTAATTATGTAACTGAATGTAAAATATTATTTTTGTTTAAAGATATAGAAATGATTAAATGCATAATGATTATTTTTATTTTTAGAAAAAGCAATGTCGACAAAGTTGAGAGTTCTAATTATTATACTATTAAAAATGTTTCTTTAAAGAATTGTTTGTACTCAATGACAATATCATTTAGCTAAAACATGTAGCGCCAAAAAAAAGAACATTCAAATGTAAGCACTCTCACTTTCACAATTAGATTATTTTCTCTGTGCAGTTTCTACAGAATACACCTGATATCAAGTGACAGCATAAGGAGAATTGACAAAAGATTAGAAAAAGCTAGTAGTATCTACATGCATCCAAATTCAGTTGTTACATTATATCACGCATCTCAGAGCCCCTGCAATATTTTAGATATTACTGAATTGCATGCTATCTAGATGACAAGTCAGCAAATTCATATGTATAAAACCTTAAAAATGTTTTTTTCATACTAATGATTGCATGTAACTAAAAGGGAAATCAACTAATGATTCAAACTTATTTAAACTTTATAAATACCCAGTTCAAATTCAATCAAGATTTTTGTAACCTAAAGCTTACTCCTGGCATATTTTTATATTGAAAAGAACAAATGGCTTAAATAGAATTCCTTGAAAAGCAAAAACAAAATGCACAAAATCTCCAAATACAATAATAACTATGTTTAGTTAAATGGAAAGTATGAGGATATGTTGGAGGGCAAGTCTGCCATGATAATTCCAGCTCCAATAGCGTATATTAAAGCTCGTAGTTGGATCTCATGTGTGCAGTCCAGCCAGTGCCAGCCAACTGCAGTTACCTCCTGCCCTACCATCTGTCTGCCCTACCATCTGTCCAGTTATCCCCTGCCCTACCATCTGTCCAGTTATCTCCTGCCCTACCATCTGTCCAGTTACCTCCTGCCCTACCATCTGTCCAGTTATCCCCTGCCCTACCATCTGTCCAGTTATCCCCTGCCCTACCATATGTCCAGTTATCCCCTGCCCTACCATCTGTCCAGTTATCCCCTGCCCTACCATCTGTCCAGTTATCCCCTGCCCTACCATCTGTCCAGTTATCCCCTGCCCTACCATCTGTCCAGTTATCCCCTGCCCTACCATCTGTCCAGTTATCCCCTGCCCTACCATCTGTCCAGTTATCTCCTGCCCTACCATCTGTCCAGTTACCTCCTGCCCTACCATCTGTCCAGTTACCTCCTGCCCTACCATCTGTCCAGTTATCCCCTGCCCTACCATCTGTCCAGTTATCCCCTGCCCTACCATCTGTCCAGTTATCCCCTGCCCTACCATCTGTCCAGTTATCCCCTGCCCTACCATCTGTCCAGTTATCCCCTGCCCTACCATCTGTCCAGTTATCCCCTGCCCTACCATCTGTCCAGTTATCCCCTGCCCTACCATCTGTCCAGTTATCTCCTGCCCTACCATCTGTCCAGTTACCTCCTGCCCTACCATCTGTCCAGTTATCCCCTGCCCTACCATCTGTCCAGTTATCCCCTGCCCTACCATCTGTCCAGTTATCCCCTGCCCTACCATCTGTCCAGTTATCCCCTGCCCTACCATCTGTCCAGTTATCCCCTGCCCTACCATCTGTCCAGTTATCCCCTGCCCTACCATCTGTCCAGTTATCCCCTGCCCTACCATCTGTCTGCCCTACCATCTGTCCAGTTATCCCCTGCCCTACCATCTGTCCAGTTATCCCCTGCCCTACCATCTGTCCAGTTATCCCCTGCCCTACCATCTGTCGGTTCTCTCCTGTGGATGCTCTACATTGAGCATCCAGAGTGGGACTTGAAAAAATTATAAACACACAGACACTACCAGACAACTGTACCTGTTAAACAATAACTGATTATACAATTAGGCACAATGCCGCCTTCTTAACCTGAATCTGATATTCATAATCTTTCACAAAAAGAAAATGAAAGTGCCAATGAACTTGGAATTATAAAATTAACTCGCTGTAACTCTAACATTTAAAAGAGATTAAAATGCCCCCTTCTTATCTCCTACAACTGCAAAAATTGACCAGCCACTTACAGAGAGAGCTGCTACTTAAGTCATTGAAAAGCAATATTTTAAAACTTGATTTACAAAATTACAGTTTCCTATTTGCATAATTTATTGTCCTCCATCTATTTATTTATATTAGCAGAGAAGCAGTTTTTATTTTTACCACAAAACTTTTGTAGTTTTATTTGGAACAAACTCTATAGTAAAAGACGGTTGTGAATGAGCTTAAAATCTTCTATAGAATGTATACATACCTCACTGGTTCTGCAGATCTGACCACATCCTCTCTAATGATTGGCTTGTTTTCTAGGATTCCTGATTCTGCAGGTCTGTTATAATCAGCATGGAACTGCTTAGGCTGGTTCTCATAAACTCCTGAGTCATGTGGGGGAGGTGTAAACTCTTTCTTTTGTTTTGGACTGCTGGGAGCCTTACTCTCAGACTCAAGCTGTCTGAAGCGTTGAGCAATATTCTTAGCAGTACCTCTTTCTGGTAGGGCTTCTTCAAGTTGATCACCAGAATGTATCAATTCAGGTTTATACTCTGGAGTGTTTTCCAAGACAACAGATTGCTTGGCTCTCTCTTCTTCTCTTGGTGGTGTAAATTCTTTCCTTCTACCAGGTGACAAAGGTGGGGATTTGACTGAAGATTCTAAACTTTTAAATTTAGCTGCTACATTTTTAGCAAATCCTCGTTCTGGAAGATACTCTTCTGTCTGGAAAATACAAGTTTTTAAATACAGATTAACAACAGTCTCAATTTTTTTTCTTCAGTAGTGATAAAAAACAATTTTTAAAATTAAAATTTTAAGTGTAGTGGTGATAAAAAAAGTTGTTTTCTTGTAAGAGAAACATTAAACAGCATGAAAACTCATCTTTACTGATACTTTAGGGTTGGTTTCATCAAAAAGTTTTAGTTGATAGAAAACTAAAACAAAAACCAGACATTTAATTAAGAAGATAAAGGAATGGGAGTGGCACAATGGTGAAAATAATAAACAATAAACTATTGGATGCTTATTTGTGAACTGAAGTTGCTTGAATATTGGCTATTTTCAAAAGAAGTTAACTTTAGTGCTACTTTAGACTGTGGTTGTTTATCTTATTTGTTTAGTTTTATTACAATAACATTTAAGATATGTTGATCATTCCAGGTGAAAGTTCTAAAACAAAACTATATCAAATTGTGAATATACAGTCTTCAGATTTATCACGTACAGAGCTAAAGTAGATATAATCATTTAAAGACTTTTTAAAGCACAGAAAATTTGTCAAAATGAGTAAAATCTTACACTAGTTTCAGAATTGACCACGTCCAGGTTTCTTTGCGGCTCATTTTCAAAAACCCCAGAATCCACTCGGACCTCATAAGTTTCAGACTGGCCACGAGGTTCACTGACATACTCAATACGCCCGGATCTGTCAGGAGTTAGCTCTTTCTTAGCACGAGTGCTGGCAGATGGTGGTGATGTATTATCATGGCTGATCTGTCGAAACTTCTGGGCTAAATTTTTAGCAGTGCCTCTTTCTGGAAGCTCTTCCTTAACTTCTTCCCCTGACCTAACAACATCCGGATTTATGGCAGGCTGGCTTTCAAAAACTCCCGAATCTGCTTTTCCTTCGTATTTCTCAAAGTGACCTCTTGGTTCAGACACATATTCAATACGACCAGATCTGTCTGGAGTTATTTCCCTTTTAGCAGAAGGAGAGTAGGAGCTGTTCTTACTTTCCAGCTCTCTGAATTTAGCAGCAACATTTTTAGCAAAGCCTTGCTCAGGTTTAGCATCCTCTAGAGTAGTGGCAGATGTGACAACATCAGGGTTGACAACTGGCTGGCTCTCAAACACTCCAGCGTCAGCCTTTCCCTCATACTTTTCAATATAGCCTCTAGGCTCAGAAACATACTCAGCACCAGCTCCATGCAAAGGTGGTGTAATCTCACGCTTTCTAGGTGCTTCTTGAGATGAACTTGACAGAAACTTTGCGCGGATACTTTGGGCTGTGCCAACTGGGGGAAGGCCAGCTGTTATATCTTTGTCTGCCTCTCTGGCAACATCATCACGGCGAATAGGTTGACTTTCATACACCCCTTCCTCTTCCTCTTCTTCATTTTGCCACTGTTGAAAGGTCTGTGGCTGACTCTCATAAACTCCACCTTCTGCTGCACTCACTTCTTCCTTGATATCCACCTGTCTATGGACAACCTGTGGCTGCTGGGATTCAAACTTATTCTTTACAGATGACATTTCACTAAAGTGCACCTTAAATATAAGATAACAATTTGAATTAATATACATTGTAAGTTTTTAAATATTCTGGTTCACAGAAAAAAAATCTCTCTGTTTATGAACACACTATATAATTTAATAAACAGAATATAGATGGGAACTCTTTTTACATTCAAAAGAAAAGATGGTTAATAGATCATTAAATATTCAAATAGTTTTTCCCTAAATAAATCTTGGCACCTGGTTCAAAGATAAAAACAAAATAGCTTACTATGTCTTGCTCTCTGTTTTCCTCAGCATTATGGCCATTCCTTTCTTCCTCCCTATTAACAATTAAAATAATCATTTTAACTCAAATTATTGTCATTATTAATATTTAAAAAAAAAGAAATATGTTCTTTAAAAGCTGAAGAAACAATTGCACAAATTATGTTTTCATCCATTAAAAATGAACATTATACCACCAATTAAATCTTATCTCATATATATATATATATATATATATACACATACATTTACTTATTGGTTCTAAAGCCAACTGGTCAACAAGCCACTCATCTCGTCCCACAATTTGTTAAAAAAAAAATGCAATTAGCTTAAAATAAAATTGTAGTTCCAAATGGTCAGAAAGTACCACATTGAAAATAAATGAATAATTTTTCCACCATAATTAGCCTACATTAAAGAAAATATTTTAAAAATGAATGTGTTTTGTTTTGTTTATCAATACAGCAACCAAATTATCTAAAAGCTGACATCTACTGTTATGTATTGCTTCTGACATGAGTTATATTACTATTTATTAAACAGCATCTGTTATATTACTGGCATCTATTATTATAAGAGGTTTAAGATATGAAAAAAACATACTTCGATAATAGTTACTTTTTTATTTGTATGATTTGAATGATATTAAAACACAACTGTAAAATAATGCTGAAGATTATATTTAGTAACTAAGAAGAACAAGGATAGTTTAACATGCCAGTGGATGGAATGATATACAGATGTAAACCATTCCTTGTTTACAGCATTACAGGGTAACTTGAAATTAACTACTGTTGCTACAAAATGTCAAACAACAAAAAGGATAAATACAGCAAGCATACTATGCTATTTTCTAACAATTTAAAGGTGTTCTTAATACTTTAAATAAAGCTTTTGATTATAAAAACTTAAAAAGTTTATGTATGATTACCATTGATTTGTTGATTGCTGGGTGCTTTGAAATCCAGAATCTAACAAAGGAGACAGATAAAATAAGTTAGTCTTTACAAGTAAGGTATAAACTCATATTGTGTTTGTAAACACACTATTCCAACTTACTAATAGAACAAGCAAAAATGACTTACAAAGCAATTATTGCTTGAACACTATATATTTAAATGAACAAAATCTGCTTAGAACTCATAGGGTGGTTCAAGCTAATCTAGATGCATCCAACCAGATAAAAGAGATTAGATTTTAGACCAGATATCACTTTATTGTATCTATAAGTGGATGGGCAGATATCAGCATCATACAGATTTTTTTTATAAATGTGGATGTTTTATTAACAAACCAGGAGGGGGGTGGTTGCACAAGCAAATATCTAAAGAGATATTCATCAAAACAACATCACACTCAACATAACCTATTATATACATTTGGAAAATACTTACTTCTTAAATTAATAAAAAATATCTTAACTTTTTGCTTTAAAATATATTTAAAAGTTAAGTTGTAATTCTTTGATTTTCCAAATGAATAGGCTGTATTCTAATCCAGCCACATATTAGGGTTATTTCCCAAAGCTAACATATACATCCCTGGTCATGTCTTCAAAGGGGGAGGGGGGGAGGGGAGAATCAGCAATCATTTTAGTATATCTAATGGTTGTTCAAGATTAAGCAAAATTTCATTCAGGATAATATAAAGTATATGTATCTTACCTGAATACCTGCTTTCTGAATGAGTGGTCTTTGAAACAATGTGGCCATCATGAGTAGTTTCTTCTTCCTGAAAGGAAGAATATGAGTAGCGTTTAGTCTCTGAGGGCACGGACTGGCTTGTGTTGTTGTAGCGTGAGGTCAACATCTTCATGTAGTTGTTACCAGCAGCAGCAGATCTAACACTGTGATGTGACATTCTTCAACTTCTTTGCAAAATATCAACTAACTTTATCTGGTCTTTTTCAATGTTAAACGACCCTAAAATACTAGTTTCATAATCTACAACAATTGAAAGCAAAACTAATCAGAAAAATTAAAATTACACACATATAACTATAGAAATTCATAGTTTAGAAAAAAAAATGTTTCAATTTGTAAGATATAAACTATCCTATTATTGCTGACTTACTAAAGTGTAGTCTTCACACCAGGTTAATTAATCTTTATTTAAATTTTTTTTATACCAGATAGAACAATAAGATCTATGCACTAAAATTACTGATTACAAATATCTATACAAGGAAAGAAAGGAGAAAAATCTATTTAGAAAACTTCTGTTGAAAGCTCCTGGTTGCATTAAAAGAAACTTCAGCGAGAAAAACCCTATTAGAAAATATACCTAACTCACTATACTTTGTTTTTGACCATAAGAAACAGAAATAAGAAACTAAAGGAAACAGATGAGGATATTTTAAAGTAAACAACAGGACACTGCAATAGAAAACGTTTTCCACTTGATTCACTTCACTCTTTAATAATTACATAGCCATCAATTTCTCCTTACTTTTACTCTCTATGGTACACTTAACATGAAATATAAAGTTAATTCCCGGGTGAATAACATGTTTTTTTTAACCATCTGAAAACTACCTTACAAACATTTTACTTCTCTAGTACACTACACTAGTCTATATTATAAATAGGCCTACAACATAGATGTATATTCGGTAAATAGCTTTCTGTTTCTTTCAGTGTATTATTTTACTTTCAGAACTCCGCACAAATTAATAATAAATTTACATGCTCTACAAAAAGCAGTCCACCAAAATCGATTCTGAATAGTTTCCTTTACTAAAATTGAGAGAGTCTGAAACGAAAAATCACGTGACCAAGTGATGGTGGTCAGCACACAACTAACACAAACACATCTGACGGTTGGAACGATGTGGCCGCCAACAGAAGAAAAACGAAACTAAAATCGTGTGTGTGGGGGAGGAGAGGAGCTACATACATGAGCCAATTGTTGCAAGCAAGGTGAGCACACAGGTAGGAAATCATCAGGTATGTGCTGTTACCTGTGGCCTATAGTGGTCAAAGAACAAGCAGTCAATGGCGCTAAGAATAATTAAGATATGTGATGACAGTCAACATTGTTTGGTTTTTTATTTCATTAAAACGTCTTTTATTCTTGCAGTCACACGTTTGAGTTGGTTAAATGCAGGAATAATAGTTGAACTATTTCAATCACCATCTAAGTAAACAACGTGTAGAAGTTTGATGCCAAAAATAAAACAAGAATTGATGCCAACAAACAGGTAGCGAAAGCAGCGTGTTACGAGAATCAAGTGCAACAACACGTAGAATAAGTTGAAAATAAAGGAGTGCGTGAACGGACTACTTTTGTAAGGTAGAGCTGCTCAAAATGGGCGACGTCGTCCCGCGCCTGATGGTCGCTGTAATATAAGCCTAAGTGAAAGGGTAGGTATGGCGGTGAATTTAAAAGTCGAGGCGGTGAAAAAGTCAAGACGGAATCGATCTTCGTCTTCACGAGACAAACAGATCTACTCGTGTGTTCATTATTTCATGTCATTTAAATACATAAGAAAAAAAAAATACTTAAAAAAAACTTTTTAAAAAACCACGTTTTTCTTGTGGACTAAAAAGTAGAAAATAACTATTTACATACATTTGATGACAAAAAACGTGGGTACGTTCACCATCAAATTTCCCGACCCATCTGCCCGACCCACGTTTTTTGTCATCAAATGTATGTAAATAGTTATTTTCTACTTTTTAGTCCACAAGAAAAACGTGGTTTTTTAAAAAGTTTTTTTTAAGTATTTTATTTTCTCCTTTTTAGTCCGTTGCTACACATGAAAAACGTGGTTTTTAAAAAAGTTTTTTTATATAGTTTATTTTCTACTTTATCTAATGACTTGATTAAGTATGAATTGACTAAGTGTTTATAAATACACGGACTAAAAAAATCTTGAGCGACCAGGATTCGAACCTGGGTTGTCGCGGCCACAACGCGAAGTATTAACCACTATACGATCACGGCCAGCGCGCTCACATCGATTGGGGCCGAAGTAACTGTGTCAACAAGCCTCCAGTCTTGTCGGTATCTTTAGAAATCATGTCCTCAATTTTATGGTCCTTTGGGCGTAATTAAATTAAGCTAATTACGGTCTCTAATTGCTAGTTTTTATGATTGCATCTGAAATTGTTAGGCGAAAGTAACCTGCATGCCAAATTTCAGATCTATAGAGCAATCAGAAGTGGGCTAATTTTCGATGTCAATTTTAACAACAAACACATCCACGCGAAGCTGAGTTAATAAAAACGTGTTAAAATACAGCTTCGATTACAAAAGAAAGGCTTAGTCCTATTGTTATAAATGTTTTGTGGATACGGAAAGTCGAATTTTTAAAGTAGCTGAGCGAAAGGTGAAGATAGAAACGTCACACTTTTTGAAGCTCCCCCCTCCCCCCTTCGTAAAAAGATACTGTCAAGAAAAAAAATCAAACCCACCAACTGTACCAAACAAAGACCATTGAATGTATCATCATGCAACAATTAAGGTGATATGGTCAGTTTATAGACGTAAATAATTAAAGTGCAGGTCACAAGGGTCATCTGAGCGCTAATGCAGAATGCCGGGAAGCTTGGTCATATAAAACCAGATCGAACTGTGGTTTGATACAGCCTATATATTGTTTAACACAAAACAAACGTGTCTATATTCAGAATTAAAGCACTTTGATATTTTAAAAAAAATTATATAATTTATATAGAAAATATATACTTTTAACAGTGCCCCCCCCCCCCCCGAGAAAAAAGTCAGGAAGAAACACTGATGAAAGGGGTCGTCCATAAATGACATCACACGCGTAGGGGGTGGGGGGTCCGTAATTTTGTGACGGTGTGTGATGAGGGGGAGGGGTTTCAGATGGTGTGACGTCACACTTTTGAATTATAAAAATAGTAATGTTAGAAAAGGCATATTAGCCATTATTTCGCGTTTTAGAAAACTGTTTTTATAAATTATAATAGGAATTGATAAAAATACTCTATGTTGACAGAGTTCAGACAAGATTTTGAAAAAAATTTATTTCGTATTTTAAGAAAAATTGAATTACAATATTGAGGGGGGGGGGGGGGGGTTTATAGGCGGAGGTGTGATGTCATTTTAAGGGGGGGGGGTCTGACTTTTTGTGACGATGTGTGACGGAGGGGAGGGGGGGAGGTAAAAATCGAAAATCGTAAAAAAAAAGCGTGACGTCATTTGTGGATGATCCCAAACAAGAATTAATTTTTGAACTGACACAACCTAACAAAAGACTAGACGGCTCAGTGTGCACTAGTGTGGGGGGGGGGGGGGGGGGGGGGGGGGTTAAAAAACAAACAACTATAATAGGGCCTATAAACCAGTTCTAGGAAATAGCATCCCAAGCTACATGATGCTTAAGTATTTTAAAATGCGTATAATACCATTATTTCTAACAGTGAAGGGTTACAACCCATCAAGATAAAAGGACAAGAAGTTGAAAATAACGCCAATAGGCTATACACATGTTACAACTGGATAGGGATTAGACAGGTGCTACAAATCATGGCACTAGCAATTTTTAGTACATGGATATGTCTTTATGTGATCATGCCAAAAGCTGTTACTTCCATGTATTCACTCCCTTTTAAAGTCATGTGCATTAATGTAGTAATAGAGAATTGAATTGGGAAAATAAAATACTTAAAAAAAGCTTTTTAAAAAACCACGTTTTTCTTGTGGACTAAAAAGTAGAAAATAACTATTTACATACATTTGATGACAAAAAACGTGGGTACGTTCACCATCAAATTTCCCGACCCATCTGCCCGACCCACGTTTTTTGTCATCAAATGTATGTAAATAGTTATTTTCTACTTTTTAGTCCACAAGAAAAACGTGGTTTTTTTTAAAAGTTTTTTTTAAGTATTTTATTTTCTCCTTTTTAGTCCGTTGCTACACATGAAAAACGTGGTTTTTAAAAAAGTTTTTTATATAGTTTATTTTCTACTTTATCTAATGACTTGATTAAGTATGACTTGACTAAGTGTTTATAAATACACGGACTAAAAATCTTGAGCGACCAGGATTCGAACCTGGGTTGTCGCGGCCACAACGCGAAGTACTAACCACTATACGATCACGGCCAGCGCGCTCACATCGATTGGGGCCGAAGTAACTGTGTCAATAGGCCTCCAGTCTTGTCGGTATCTTTAGAAATCATGTCCTCAATTTTATGGTCCTTAGGGCGTAATTAAATTAAGCTAATTACGGTCTCTAATTGCTAGTTTTTATGATTGCATCTGAAATTGTTAGGCGAAAGTAGCCTGCATGCCAAATTTCAGATCTATAGAACAATCAGAAGTGGGCTAATTTTCGATGTCAATTTTAACAACAAACACACGCAAAGCTGAGTTAATAAAAACGTGTTAAAAAGCTCTACTGTCATTCATAGATATTCAATAATGGTCACAAGTGTAAGGTACAAAAGATAATAAATGCATGCATGCTGTGGACACTGTTCCATAACTTAACCATTCACAATGAAGAATCTACACATCTTGTTAGTCATGGTGGAAGGGGGGTGGGGGTGGGGGGTCATGATAATTTTCTAGGAAGATGCACACAAACCTATTAGAAAAGCTGCACTGCAAAAATTAAAGAAAATATTCTCAATGTGTTTCTTGCAAGCTTAAAAATGGCATTGTAGAGAGAGCCTTGTAAGAAATCTAATGAGTATTAGATGTCAAACTATACTGTTGAAATGGCACAAATGGTTTCAGCTGGTTGTATGACAACATGCATTGGATTGGTCCAATCATGCAATGCACAAGAATGTACAGACAATATGCAGAGTTCAAACCTGGACTTTGTTAGGCGAGTCCTCTGGTTCCAGGCTTCTACTTGGTGCATGACTTCTATCATCTCTAGCTCTCAATGTAGATCCAATGTCTGTCTCTTCAGATGAGTAGTTGTCATCTTGCACTCCAAGATCATTGGCTCCTACAGGATCTTCAGATACATCTGGACCAATACTTCTGCTTGGGGATCTACTACGTTCATCTCTTGGCTTGAGTGAATAGACATGGGACTCCTCTTGTTCCTCCATTAGATCTGATTCTTCCCTGTCCATGCAATAATTTTCCAGATCCTCTTCTCTGCGATCATGGCCATAATTATCTGGTGTTAGCATGTCATGATGAATGCTTGCTGCCTGTGATGAAATCGGGTACACAGCTTCCCTTTCAAATGCTACATCTTCTTCAGACTCAACTTGCTGAGCAGTTTCTTCACAGCTTTGTGACACTTCTACTGTTGGGATACTAATTTCATCAGGGATCTCTTCAGTAAGATCTCCTTCATCAATAGCTTTATCAGCCTAGAGATTCATAAACCACAAATATGAATCCTATCAAGCATTAAACAAACCACATAATACCTTGTCTATGAACATGTTATTACTGTGGGTTACAGTGAAAGCACAAAAGATGTACACAAAATAAAATGCTTGTTTGCTACAAAGTATTCCTATTTAATTTTGTTTCTGATTCAACTTTTGGCTATTATATGTTGTTTTAATAAAAGTTTGCTGAAAGATGATAATGTTCTAAATACATTTTATGTTTGATGTTAATCAATGTCACACATTTATTTGAGAAAAAAATTTAAGAAAAAAAATACATTACCTCCTCCACTGTTTCTGTACTAAAATAATCTTGGTCCTTGAATTGTTCATTTACATTTGGTTGTACCCAAAGATCAGGGTCTCCATTGAGAACCTCTGGTTGGTCTTCTCCATTATTACTTTGCTCCGTTTGGTTAAGATCATCAGATTCAGCAAGAAGGTCTATGCTTGTAGAATGGCTGGCTTCTTCTGTGGTCCCAAGGTCTGCCTGCTGGGGAATATCATCACTGCCTTCTTCACCAGCATCCTCTAGATCATACAGAGGATTACTGGGCTGTGAATCAGTTGTATTTGTTGACAAGTCATACAGTGGGTTGGCTGATTGGTTGGAATCTTCTTCTACATACTCATACAGTGGATTAGCTGGGCCTGAAGACAGCTCATACAGTGGGTTGGAAGACTGAGCGTCCATAGACATGTTGTAAAGAGGATTAGCTGAGCCAGAAGCATCAAAATCAAAGTCTACTCCATTACTGGATTCACCATTTGTTACCTGTAAATAAAACAACATATTATGGAAAAAAAGCTTCCCAAAAGTTTTGTAAAACTGATGAAACTTATTTTTTATCAAGGTAAAGGTAAAGTTGCAACAGAAAGAAAGTAATAAATGCATGAAGATAATATACCTGTGCCAGCTACATTAAAATGTATTGGCATCAGAACGCTCTAGTTAAGGAAGAGTAAAAATAGCATACAGTTAACATCTAATAACATTATATTTATTATTCTAAAACTGGCTCTAGAAAATTTAGGAAAATACACTGATAAAGCAACTTATCAAAAATAGGTAAATGAAGATATTGTTATCAAACAAATACATTACCACCTACCAATGCTATGTTATCAGTTTAAAGATTATGGTATTCAAGTCCCAGATTTACACCCACTGGATAACAGATTTTCAACATGTGATATAAAAAAACTGATGTTCCTTTATAAGAGGATAATACAAAAGGCATAATTTAAACATACACCTTTCCTACTAGTAACTAAACTTATAATTGCTAGTAAAAATAAATGTATATGCTGTCAATATTGCTATTAGATTTCCCATTCATGCTTCTATGTAGGAGTGTGTTCAGTTTATGAACTTTGGCTGCCAGTTAAAGGATTCCCAGCAAAAATATTTTGACCAAATCAATTTTGAAAGTATTTTTAAATATCTTAATTAACTCCAGTAAAAGCTTTCTTGTTAGTTTTAAAAACTTACCAGCTTGTATTTTACCAGTACACAGAGCTGAATTATACCCTGGGTATGCTAATATTCCTCTTTGAACCTAGCAATCCATTGGGCAGATGAAGTAGAGTTCTTTGACCGTGGCATATATAGGATGGTGTGGTCAGCACTATGCCCTGACATCTTTACTTTTCCCAACATAAGTCAGGTACCTATCACAGCTGGGTGGACTCAGGGGCGTCCTACAGTCACAAGTCTGAGCCAATATCCTAATTTGAGACTTTTGGGCCAGCAGCCAAAACACTCTACCATTTGACCATGCCATCCCATCCTTGGAATGCTAAGCACTTGCTAATTATGGTGCTTCCCTACTCAATAAATCAATGAATTGACTGAGTAAAATAAAACGTATTAAATTTCAGAAATAATATTCTACTAAACACATTCCACTGTATTGGCTCAGAAACAAAGGCCCTCTTTACTAAACTCCTACCCCAGACAAAAAACAACCCTGGGCATATATAAATAAAGGAATAAACAAACACAGAAAAAAAAAATAATGTCCTTGTTACTGGACCTCTTTTTTTAACTTAATTTTTTTATAACAAAACCAATTTTTGAGCAACATGAGTACAACTATTCTGTTTTATTTCATAGTTTTTTAAATTGGAAGTTTAGTGAATTTTAATCAGTTACAATATGACTTGTCTGTAAGATTTGTGATTGTCAATGTAATATATATATATATATATATATATATATATATATATATATATATATATATATATATATATATATGTAACGAGCGAACAGTTACCCTGCTCGCAACGCCAAATGTGACCTTCCCCGAGTCTATCCTGCCCGACAACGCCAATTGTAACGAGTTGAACCACTCATGCTACACAACATCGACTACAGTAGAAAGACTCGAAGATGCAGGTTCGCTATTGATCCTTTTATTACATGAATCAAGAAATGCTTCAATATAACACAATGAATCAACAGGAATGTTTCACAATAATAGTCTGAATCAACTGACCCCTAACAGTCCTCACTAGGCTTCATATAACTGAATCCACATGTCTATTGTCCTTCTTAACACAATATAACCAACTTGATATGTCACACAGACTGACTGATCTAAAGCGAGCGATGAAGAGGAAGAGAACGAGTTCTGCCGTCCCCTCCTATTTATGCCTTGTATCCGTACTCGTCTTCGTACTTGTATTCCTCCGTAATCGATACTTGTACTCGATGTCTCCGACCACTAGTTGCGCAGTTCTCACGTACCGTCCGTGAAATAACATCTGCATCCTATCAATCAAAGTTGACAGGCCGTCTGAATCCCCTTGTACCGTTTCCCAAAATAGCACGCGTTGGCTTTGAGATTGTTATCAGTCCGATCCAATAAGCCACCTGCTATGTTGCGTCAGACTGTAATACTGCGTCTCGGCTATTCGTTCGTTATCAGATTTGTAACTAGTAGCTAGGCCTACCCTAGTCACATATATATAATAAGCTTTTAAATACAGTGAAACAAGTAAATAAAACAAACTTGCTTTTTTAAATATAAGCATCAGTCGCTCATGAGATCTCTTCTAACATATTTTAGCGACCAATGCTCTTATTAAAAAAGCGAGTTTGATTGATTTTCTTATTTTCAGTGGGGGTATATTATAGTGATTAAAAAAAATTCCAAAACTTTAGCTACCCTTCACACAAAATATCATAGCTCATGTGAAGAAAAAAAAAATAGAACGCGCAAATTACACAAGGGTATTTTTTAAGCGCAATTTCCTTACAGGAATTGAGATTATTAACTCGTCATTTCTGGATGGATGTGTGTCCCCAGCTTTAAGTCGTATCTCCTCCTCAACGAAGCAATATCGAGGACTAGTTCCAAAAGCAAATATGTTAAGCAAGTTCCGAGGATGATTGTGGGCCAAAAAAATTCCCGGAATTCCTTCCTGGATTTCCCGGAAAAGCCAAAAAACCTCGAAAAAAATGTAGTTTTTTGCCCATATCTCAGCAACCAGACCACTTAGCGACTTGAAACATTTACCAATCGATTCCTGCCATAATTTAGAACAATATTGCCGAAGAATGTTTTCAAAAATATCCTTTCGTTCGGTCACAAAAAATTAATTAAGGAAATTGCGTTTAAAATGTCACTAGACTTTTTATTAACTTGTTTTTAAAATTATTTGTACATTATGCAATCGAGGGTATGAGAGCGATAAAAGAAATATAGGTCATGAATCCGATGTGGCATTTTCATTAGAGATACCTCATCAATATCTAAAATTTATATCCTTCCGCTAGGGTTAATGAAGATTAGTAAACCTGTACAAATCTTTCAGGGTATGCTAAAATAGCACGGGTGGAGTTTTAAAGTTAAGAGTGTGTGTAGGAAGATGAAAAAGAAAATGTACATGAAATTCTTCAACTAATGTGTTTAGACGTGACTGTCGCGACAGCCGGGTGAGAGACGAGAGCCGCCCGATTACCAGCTTTGGGGGTCATCCATAAATGACGTCACGCTTTTTTTTTTTTTACAATTTTTACCTCCCCCCCCCCCCTCCCTCCGTCACATGTCGTCACAAAAAGCCAGAGCCCCCCCCCCCCCCCTAAAATGACTTCACACTTCAGCCTACAACCACCCTCAAAATTGCAGTTCAATTTTTTTTTTAAACATCGATATTTTTCTAAAATCTTGTCTGAACTCAGTAAAACTAGAGTATTTTAATCAATTCTTATTACAATTTATTAAAACAGTTTTCTAAATCGCGAACTGACGTCTAAAATTTGTTTTCTAACATTTTTTTATAATACAATAGTGTGACGTCGCACCATCTGAACCCCCCACCCCCCCTCTCCCTCATCACACACCGTCACAAAATTACGGACCCACCCTCCCCCCTACGAGTGTGACGTCATTTATGGACGACCCCTTTGACATAGACGACTAAATGTTGCCATAGCTACAAAGAATATAAATAGTTACAGGAACCACGGATGATTTTCAGTGTGAGCCCTATTACATTTACACTACGGCAGTGGTCGGCAACCTTTTGAGATGGAAGAGCCAAAAGTTACAATTTACAAAATTTCCCAGGTTTTAAAGAGCCACTAAATTTTTATTTCAAAATTTTATTATTTGATTAGGATTAGGCAAATGCATTTGATTTGTTATTTAAATTACATAGCTTTAAATATGAAATAATATTTATTCATATAAAAACATACACTTGTTCGCCAGAATAATGAAATTAGAAATCAAAAATTAAAAATATAGGACTTTAGAAGCTGTTAATTTTTTACATTTTTTTTTACGGATAACCCCTGTTTGGGAAGTGTCTGTCATTAGCCAGGCAGGCCTCAACACGGTAAACTTCGACTAACTGGCTTGGATATCGGTTTAATTACCGTGTATCGGTCACTTCTGTACTCAACAGGTATATCTTCCAACCCACTGAACGCAGAGTAAACTCATACCCGTCCAGTACCCGCTTAGGAAGCTAATAACTAAAAAACTATGTCACTCAGGTCAAATTAATGATTACTGACGGATAGAGAAATGCATTCTGAATAAAATAACATTCCCCATTTAACGATATTCGAAAAAGTCGGCACTTGGGCAATGGGCAGTGGCAAACATGCCCATTGTTGTCACGGGGCTGGTTACAGCAGATTTGTGGGGCTGGGCCTGGTGCCCAAGCAGCTGTCAGCTATCCGTATACTTTCTACTGCACCTATTCTCACTGTTCTCTGATGAGTGTTTTTATCCTGTTTAAACTTGTGTATCTTTACAGTATAATTTTTGTTATGAGTTTTGAAAATGAAATAATATAACTTAATATTTGTGCAAGGAGCTGGAGAGCCGCATCGTGACACCAAAAGAGCCTCATGCGGCTCGCGAGCCGCAGGTTGCCGACCACTGCACTACGGTTAAAACCACGCGCCTAGCTTTTGAGTGTAATAAAAAAATATATGATAGCGTACTTGATAAACAAAACATCAAAATTTCTTTTTTTTTTTTAAATTTTACGTAAGTCTGTAGCGAAAACAATCAATCAAAATCACCTCCCACCCTTTTTTTTTCTTCCTTATATTGATAGCTATCCTAACAGGGAATATATGAAAAACATTAGATTAGAAACACACGCATTAATATAATCACGTTTTTGCAGGAGATCAATTAATATATTCTCACTCTTCTTAAAGAGTCACCCGGGCCGATGCCATTGAGAAATAAGGTTTCGGGGTTTCACCAACACTCGTACGTGCAACAACACACGTATTCATTAATAAGTAGATTTTTCGACGTAAGGGGTCATAAGGGGGGGGGGGGGGGGGATCTGAAGAAAAAAAACGACTTTTGTGTGGGGGAGGGGGGATGTTGGGTTCGGGTCCGCTGTTGAATTAAACATCAAAATACTTACACCAAAAAGAAAAAAAAAACTTCTTATAAAAATGTATGAATTAAATCGGCAATTCTCTTGTTAAAAAAAAACCATCAGCTTAGCAGGTGAATAAATGTATCAGATGTAACTATATACCGCCCGCCTAACAAAAATAATCAGAAATCGCTGGAAATTTGATACAGAATAACAAATTTTATATAATACTTATATATATGAAATATCATCAACCTAGCTGTATGGTACTCAGACACACATACATACGGACAAAATTGCAAAACTATGTTTTTCCGACTCAGGGAGGTGTAAAACGTCGAGGTATGTGAAAATCTCGATTTTTTTTTGCACGATTACAATACTTCCTCTATAATTTGTATACGAGAAATTAACTTAACAGTTAAATTCCACCAATTCTAAAATTCTGATAATGTTTAATTTACAACAGAAAAGATTTGTCGCTTAAGAGCGAGCACAGAAGTTTAAATGTATGATATACATGATGTTTACAGGATAACGACATTTTGTTTTGATAATCTACAAGCATACTGCAGGTAGGATGTACAGCGTGGACCCCTCTCCCCACACATTGAGTTGGAACAGCATATAAACGACCCATTTATGGAAGTCATAGATAGATGACACTTAAATTAAAACATACTATTTCTTATAATACATAAACTAATATAAAAATAAGGCCAGCCGAACAAGAGATTCATACGTTGTATTACTAAAGAGTGTTGGATAAGCTAACTCTAAAGAATATTGATGGAGGGGTCCCACTGGCAGGTGTCATATTCAATGAGACCGTTTTGCCGGGAGACTTAGTCTCTACAGAAACCGTATTGTCAGTGGTCCTTTTGTCGGGAGTCAAATTGACAAGAGCCTATTTGTCGTGAGCCAAAATGACGGGAGCCTATATGTCGGGAGTCGTAATGACGGGGGCCGTTTTGTGGAGAAACTAAATGGCGGGAGCCTATATGACAGGAGCCTATTTGTCGGCAGCCTATATGACGGGATCCATATATCGCTGGCCCTTTTGACGGGGTTGATTTGACAGGGCTCTTATGTCGGGGCCGATTTGTCGGGGTCTTATTGACGGGGCCGATTTGTCGGGGTCTTATTGACGGGGCCGGTTTGTCATTTGCCGTTTTGACGCCGCACGATAGAAAATATATACTTTTAACAGTGTCCGCCCCCCCCCCCCCCTTCCCCCGGAGAAAAAAAGTCTGGAAGAAACACTGGTCTTGACATCAGAAATAGCTCACAAATAGAACCCGTGCACTTTTTGCATTAGTGGCGGGGCTTATCTGGACAAGATCCGTTTTAGGCAATTGCGAGCCTACAAAGCGGTGAGACGAGCAGACATCTACATAGTTGCTATTTGTCGGTCTCAGAACCTTCTAACTAAATACATCGTGTTGGAGTGGTACCCTCATACAAAAGGTAGGGAGAGGTACATGTGTAAACACTTTGCAGCCCATTTTATGACTCTATAGAGAAGAAACGTACACGGTCGTACATTAAATCCCCGCACTACCTTAGAGGATAGACACTTGACAGATTGGAACAAGAAGATTTGGGGTAGTTATACAACTAGACTCAGGGCTAGCTTAGCGTTAGGTTTCTATTCACCAAAGTCGCTTCTGAGGAGGCCTAACGATATGTGTATGTTTATTCTTACCCTAGGGTTTAATGAAGATGTCGAAATAAGAAAAATATACGCATCCAATAAATTACTATTTAAACACGAATTGTTACGACTTTTCTCCCCACTTACCAGACAAGATAGAAAAGGCGAACACACTAGGACGTAAGCATACTATAAAGTTACATCCACGAGGAGCAGTTTTCAAATCACACAGCAACTAAACTTATAAAGGCAACAACCATTGAGAACGAAAACTCAAAACATCCACCCTTGCTGAAGAAAAATCAATCGATAAGGACACACACTGGTCGTATAAGAAGCCGAGATAGCCCTGCCCAAACAGACTCGAGGACGTTAAACGGTTGATGTAGCACATATACCTTACTGACACACTGATATGTCACGGCCTTTGGTGGATCAGATGACAGTTACACACAAACACACACTATCAACAACCAAAAAGAAATTGGTCCACAATTTCGAAATGCATGTATGGGGTCTAGCCAGAGCTAGCATGGGACATTAGGGATTATTCATAACACACTTTCGAAATGGGGACTTGTGACGTCGTAATACGTGGAGGAGGGTGAAAGGGGTTTTTAAATGTGACTTAACCTATGTATATTTGATTTTTAAAACATTTTACTTATGGTATACATAGACTAAATTGGTGGGAAGTCATAAATGGAATATTCTTAATTAAAGTATTTTATCTACAACTCACTATTACCAAACACCGTAAGAAACATTACAAAAGAACTTGATCATTAAATATTGAATCAAACCAAATAAATGACTAGACGACAAAAAAAAAACAACATTTTACTTACCTGAGAATCAACAGAAAAATCCACCAAGAGTCCGGAATCTCCACCATTACTTATTTGTTCCCCATCTGAAGGCCCGAAAGGATCAAATTGGTCGATGTTACCATTAGAAGTGGCTTTTGTTGTAGTGCTAGTATCACCAAAATCTCCCAAGAGGTCATCGAACTGTGACGCCGACATGGCGGAGGTTTAATTACAGGGAGATCAAACTTGTAGACTTGTCTTATGCTGCTTTATGCACTAAAATAAAACAAATTGTAATATGCTAGAACAGTTAGCGTTTAATACACCACACCGCCCCTCCCCCCCCCCCCCCCCTCGTGACTCTACTGTTGTCGGACACATGCTGGGTTTTTGAAAGCAAATACCCGTCTATTTATATATCTACAAGGTTATAAATATATGGGCCTCCAACTAATTGTTTACGCACACCTATAGCGAGTTTTTAACGACTACCTTTTTTCTTTGTAATTATATGACTTTCGGTGCGTTATTACGTTTTAAGAAATCATGAAAAAAGAATACTTGAATGCTGAAAAATAAAAACGTACTTCACATGTAGCATAACCCCAAGTATAAAAGTAAAAACATCGAATGGGCTTCAACCGAAACAAATTACCAGTGACATGCCAGAGTACCAACCTCATAAAGCGGGAGTGATCTTACATAAACTTTATCACTCCCGCTTTATTATGCACAATGTTTACGTTTATTAGGTGCGCTATTCTTACTTCTACTCGAGTCTATACACACTTTTTTAAAATCTAAGAATAAAAAAAAAATTAAAAAATAAAGTGGCATCTCCCTTAAACATTTTGTGCAAAACTTAGCAGAAAATTGATACTTTATGAACAAAACTTTAACTAATGTTAAATCAAACATCTAATTAAGTAAGATTTTTGTGTCACAGTACATTGTCACCCAGTTTTGACTTACGGGTACAGTTGGAAACAGATCAGTCAAGTGGAAGTGGTGTTTTTTGAGAAATCAGATATACCGTAAAGTACTAATTCCGGCCACCGGAAATCTCTCAAAATTTGGCAAAATCAAGAGAATGCTTGATAATAAAACTTCTAAATGAAACGGTACTTATGTTGCCTATATTTTAGAAACTTGAAACAGTCAATCAAAATTTAAAAGTAATCCAATAGTCCTTATGTATGAAATTTCGCATACAACCTAATATTTATACTTTTAATTTTGCTTACTTAGCTTTAATCGTAATCAAGTTATCAGCTTTTAAGAGACTAGAAATAGAGAAAGTATCACTTACGGCTACCGGAAATCGCTCGAAAGCTGAAAGAAAACTAACATCTATAACAGGGGTCTCCAAACTTTTCAGTCCGAGGGCCGCATTAACTATCAAATTTCAGTTCGGGGGCCAGTTTCTTCCAGGCATTTCTTTGATTTTTTCTGGGCAAAGTTCCTCAGCCATCACCAACAAACGATTGATTTTTCCGGGGACAAAAAGATCTCCGCGGGTCGGATGAGATGACTTCGCGGGCCGCAGTTAGGAAACTTGATCTATAGTATAAGCGTCAGTGTGTAAGTCCTTCCTTCCGTCATCGCTATAGCTTTTGGAACCATAAAAGTAAACATCGCACCATGCAGTGCTTTTCAGTTCATCGCAGTGTCTTATTTTAAGTATGGGAGGTTGGTTTGTTTATATAACGAAATAAAGTTATTTTATAAATGCCACTGTTTTTACTCTTTCGCATAACGTCAAGAAATTATTAAACACACGCACACTGCTAAAACATATTAAAAAGAT